ATGGTTTCACTATATAGTAAGTTATTAAGAGGCCACAACTGCGATGTGGTGGAGCCATGGCTTTCTCTCAAGTCTGTGTGACTCGGAAGCCCAAGCCATTACTACAGGATCCTATTGGTCGGATTGGAGACCAGGAGGCCTCAGGAGGGAAGAATGGTACAGGGAACAAAAGCCAGGAGCATTGTAGAGATTTTCAGGAAGGCATGGAAGTGAGATTGGAGGGAACCAAGGAGAATGTGGGGAAAGCGTGCAGACAATTCTAGAAGGAAGACTGAAAAGGGAAGGACAGGTTGGGCGGTGGTTAAACCCTAGGGAGGAATGCCTACTACGGCATCCCTGAGGATTCACTGTGTGGTACTGCCACTGCTGGGCTTGGGCTGAGCCACCTTGGTGCATTCTGCTTTGCCTGAAGCACAGACTCTGAGTGCCAGAGCTGTACCCAGGGAGGATGGAGGGCTGGTCTCAGGGCACCTGGGCCAGAGTGGGCCCAATCTGAGGGCAGTGGAAGCCACTGCAGGGCCCTAAGAATGCCCAGCCTATAGGGCTGTCAAGCATAGCCAGGTAAAGAATGGATTGAGGAATATAGTGGGGGTTGGGAAGCAAGAGTTGGGTGGGGAAGGAGACACAGAGACAGCTCATAAACATCAACCAAGAAGGCCTCTAGCATCAACACCTGCATTCTGGCCACGCAATGGCAAATTCCAGGGCAGGTGAAGAAGTTGTCCTCTATGATGTAATTTCCCTGAGCCGGGAAATTCCCTGGTCGTAATAATAATACTTGTTAACATTTACTAATCCCTACTCCCTGACAGACACTTCACATACTTTATTTCTAATTATCCCCATTTTATACATAAAGAAGCTGAGACCCCAAAGGGTCAGATAACATGGTTAAGAAGTGTCTAGGCCAGAATACAAACTGGGTTTTAACTTTTGACCCACAACTCTTTCAAGATACATCTGCCTAATATTCTGCAGAAATCTAAAAGTCCTAACAGGTTTTATTATTTCTATACTTTTTTGTATAGGTAGTGTACACGTTTTGTATGAAAGAGGCTAGGTTTGTAAATGACTCCCTCCTTCCTTTGTAGACAAGCCACCCAGTTTTCTACCTGGATGCTAGCAGAATTACCAATGTCTTTTGTGCTCTTCCTGAAATATACTATGCATTTACAAACATGTTCATATAAGTAAATATTTTCATAAAATGAAGGTACTGTATTATATATGCTGTTATGCACTTTGCCATTTTTTTTCTTCAGTTAACTTTTGTGCAGTGGGTTATATTTGCTTGGTTGCATAAGGGGGTGAGATTTCTATCTTTACCGTCTCTTGGTAGATTACCTGTGATGTGCATCATATTCTGGTTTAATGCTTGTTCAGCAATAAAACTGTTTTATTTCTCTACTACCTTTGTGGAGAGGATTTCTAGGTTGGGAGAAGAGTTTGTTTTTAATTACATTTCTGTAACATGAGCATGATGTACTAGCTCTCTGATTCTTTCTTTTCTATTTGGAAAAACACAGGTAGCCTTACTCTGCTGGGCCAGGAGTCCTAGGTGGGTGACTCTATGGGTAACATAGATCTGCCATGCCAAGCTCCTCCCTGGGAGCTTGGCAGAGGGGTGAGACTCAGTATCTGGTATAGTTGTAATAGTTTCCTCGATGGCATTACCAATCTCCTTCTTCCTTTGATCCATGGTGTGGCCGCCTGGCACCTAGCACAGCACAAGCATGGCTGCCTGAATGCACAGAGAAGGAGGTCAGAGGATCCAGTTTTGAGTCATGGCTCTGTCACTGACTAGAGGTATGGGCTTGAGCCAATCTGTTCAGCCCCCTGAGCCCCATCTGTCCCTATCTGCAAAACTTCAGCCTCATCTGTCCTTCGGCCCCCTGTCCCTATCTGCAAAACCAGGCACTTTAGGCCGGCTAGTCTTCAAAGACCTTGTTATTACCAGTGACGTGTGATCATCTGACTGGTTTTTATTTATTTTATTTTTGACATGGAGTTTTGCTCTTGTTGCCCAGGCTGGAGTACAATGGGTGGGATCTCAGCTCACTACAACCTCCACCTCTTGGGTTCAAGCGATTATCCTTCCTCAGTCTCCTGTGTAGCTGGAATTACAGGCATGCGCCACCCCACCTGGCTAATTTCATACTTTTAGTAGAGACGGGCTTCTCCATGTTGGTCAGGCTGTTCTTAAACTCCTGACCTCAGGTGATCCACCCGCCTTGGCCTCCCCAAGTGCTGGGATTACAGGCCAGAGCCACCGCACCTGGCCCATCTGACTGGTTTTTATCTATAATGAGGTCCTCAGCCATAGCTTCTAGCCCAAGTGCCTTCATTCCCTTCTCCAGAAAGATTTTCCTGAACCACCCCATCCCTATGGCTGGGCCAGGAGAACATCTGGAATTCCATAGCGCCTCTATGTTTGAATAGCCTATTTCCTGAGGCCAACATCAAATTTTCTCAGTAGTTGCCTTGTGCCTGGGGTAGAGTGATGATCACATCACAGCCACCATGTTCCTGTGGCTCTCTCCACATTTCCAGCATATGCAGTGCTCCTGCATACGCCTTATTGGTGCTGTCAGAATATTGATATTAATACCTCCTTTGGAAAAAAGGAAAAAGGCTCAAAGAAATGAAGCCACATGCCTATTTTCATAGCTGGAAGTAAGCCATATTTCACTGTATGTCTACCCAAGCTCTCCTGGGTGCCTTGGTTTTCCCTCCTTGAATCCAGTCTTTTCCCATCTCCTCTGAGCCAGTTCTTCATCAGTCCCTCTGGATGCCCTCTCAGCCTTTCCTGGCCCTGCTCTGTGTCCTGTGAGGCTGACTCCAGGCTCAGCGGCCCCTGGCCCTTTGAGCCTTGGCTTCCTGCTGAGCCTGGTCCATGGGATTGGATTGGAGGCAGGGTGGGGCATGGGGGAGCAGTCAGCATTCCTTTCTTCCTTCTGCACTCTCCCTACTGTTTTGGCAGCAACAGCCTTTCTCCCCAGAGCCCTTAGGTCTTCCAGGCAGGCCCTCTCCTAGGCTTTAGTTATCTCTGGGTTTCTCTAACACTTCCCCTCCATGTGCCCTTCATGCCAAGGCATGGTCACTGGTTTCCCATTGTTGCTGGTCCTGGGTGCTCCAGCCCTTTCAGTTCCCTTCAATCTGTCTGCATCTCAGCAAATAGGGCCTTTTTAAAACCCTTTCAAAATCTTCTTTAAATATTCTTTTATAAACGCACTTCCTTGAGTAAGCCAGCTGTTTCTTTTCAGGACCCTGATTGCTGCATGAGCCCAGCTTCACTCCCATTTCCCTCTTTTTTAATTCTGACATACTAGTAAGTTACAGAGCCTGGGCAAACCACAACTGCAATCATCCTCACACATCTGCTCTCCAGGAAGATGGGTTTAATAACAGAATGGATGGTGTCAGCCTTACTCATTTCTTGAGCATCTGCAATTGGACAGACACAATGACAGATTTGGGGGCACGGAAGTGAGTGAAAAAGATTCCATGCCTTCCTTCAGTGAGCTTCCTGTCTAGTGACAGCTCAGGTCTCCATCTCTGTCTCCCCTCCTGGCTGGGGAAGTCATGGATCCTCCCTGGACTGTGAAGTTCTGCTGGATGGTCTTCTAGGTAGACAAAGGCATTCCCTGGCTTCTGCTGACCAACGGCTCTCAGACATTGTCTTGGTGGTGGGAACCTGTCATGCCTCTGGGCTACCTTTAGACCCCAGTGCAGGTTTCTGGTGGCCACTCAGTGTCTCATTCAAGAACGGAGTCCCAGAGCACAAACTGGGAGCTGGTGCTTGACTTCTAGCAGGAACCAGCCCCTTGGTGGTCAAGGGTCAAAGCCTGACTTCCCATGGCCTGCGGTTCTCTTTGAACATAAACAGCATTTCAGGGTTGTCTGCATTTTATGAGCAATGGCATCTGGTCATGGATACTGCTGCCTGAATCACAGTCTGTTTGTTGACCCTGATGGGGCAGTGAGAATTACAGATTTGCCCTTCCTTACTCATGGTGTCTATGCTTTGAAGCTGGCCAGGATGACTTAGAGACCAGATTTCTAGTTAAACCAATTGAAAACCCAATTTTTTCCCTTTGCAATTTAACACTTTGAACTGAAATTAAATCAGCCATCATAGATTATGAAGGGGCATTTTTAAAAAGGATATTACTTGAAGAACACATTCTTTAGGTTTTGAGGTATGTCTTTGATATTCCTGGCCAAGAATTATGTTTTCTCCTTGACACCTACGCCTTGTCCCTATCACTGTTCTCCCTAGACCTTATACTCTTTTTCTGACTAGGCTTCTCCCAGGCCACAGCAAGATCTTACAGATAGAGAATCAGACAGGAGGTTCTTTCTTAAGCTCTAAAAAGGTAAAAAGTTCTAAACCCAAGAAAAAGAGTGAGTAAAGAAATTGTAGCATCTACAGATAGGAATGTGTACCTATAGCATCATACTGTTGTGACTTCATTAGCATATAAATAAAATCATAAATATTAGGAGACTCAGAATAATCTCATGTCATTAAAAACCCATTATATATACTCCATATAATTCTGTACAGAATTATATATCCCAAACTGTTAACTGTGGTCAGCTATAAGAGTTTGGGTAATGATGACTTTCTTCCTCTCCTTCTCTGTATTTTCTAACTTTTTTTCAATGACCATGTCCTAGTTATGTAGTTTTAAAAGTTTTTTTCTTAAATAAAAAAGAATATTCCCAAATTACCAGTACACTATGATTATAATTATCTAAAAATATGAGGCTTAAGGTTATTCCTATCTTAAAAGAAGGGACAATTCATTCCCTAGAAATATTGAGAATAAAAACCAAATTGAACCTCTCCACCCCTCCCACTCTACATTTCCTCTGCATGTAGAAACAAGGAATGTGATACATCAAGAAACTCTGTCCTCTGTCCAGAGCTGAAATAGTTGCCGCTCCCTGCAGAGAGTCCACTGATCCCCCCCAGGTCAGAGTGGCGTGTGGCTTACCTGAAACTGGACACAGGTCTCTCCTTGGGTCCGGAGCTGGCTGACAAGCAGATAGGTGGTGAGTCCTGCGAGGAAGGGGAGCAACAGGTAGCAGCAAGTGAGTGCCCAGCATGCGCCCCTGCTCCTGGCCTTGGGCCTGCAGCTGTCCTGCTCTGGCAGCATTTCCACGCTGGCTGTTTCCCCACAGCTCAGCCCCAGATTCTCAGCCATGCTCCTGTTTCTCCTGGAGGCACCTCTGACTCCTGGGCAGAGAGACCCCCCCATTAAATAGAGGACCAGCTCTCACAGTGGGTGACTTAATCACTCAGTCTCCTCCTTCCCTTTTCCTCTCCCCTCCCCTCTTCAAGAGCACACTGTGGCCCTACCCTGCTAGAGAATGCACCGCCTACAACAGAAACCAAGTTTGGTTTAAGGAAAAAAAAAAAAAAAAAAAGAAGAAGGAGAAGAAGAACGCTTTCCCAAGCATAGTTATATACAGTATGCTCATGTGCTCCTTCCTTCGTTTACAGAAGGAAGTTAGGAAAGTCCCTGAAGGAGGAGAGAAATAATTCATTAAGTCAGTGGGTGGGGACAAATTAAAATATACCTGTTCCCTGCACTGGAGGCTTAACAGCTGTGCCAGTCTGAGGAGTGTGCTTCTGGAAGTGAAAGTGAGGGATGGGAGGTGTGTGGTTTGCAGGCTGGGAAATGGAAATCACATTTGCAGGAGCCCTTTGCAAAGTACTGCCTAGCCCTCTGTCTTTTTGAACCTCATAGAAACTCATTCTCATTGTACAGATGGGAATGGCAAAGTTCTAAAAGGTGAAGGCAGTTGTCCTAGGTCATCCAAGGATAAAGACAGAGGTGCTAGGAAGATGACTTAATTCTTCTAAATCATGGCTTGGAGTTGTGACCTCTAGCACATGACTGCCTGTGAAAGGAAGGTATATTTCCAGCTGGCATTGACCATTGTTTATTCAGAGTACGAGATCACTAATCAAGGTGACTGTCTGTGAGGTAGAACATTAACTGCTACTTCCTGATTAGTGTAAAGTTAATGGATCATGTGATGTGCTTTGCCTGCAGTGGGGTGTGGGGGCTACAACATGTAATAAAAGATTATATTTATTAAGTGCTTACTTTGTGCCAATCACTGCTCTAAGTTAAATATATCAATAAAATTATTCCATCCTGAGATAACTTTTGTGACAGTGAAGCCATCATTCTCATTTTACACGCAAGGAAATGAAGCACAGAGGGTAAATGGTCATCACACTCCATTGCAGGTGCTGCTGGATCATGCATGTTCATAGACACCTGCACTCTATATACCCAGAGGGGGTAGTGTCCTGCAGTGAGGGGGTTGATGATGCTTCCTGGAGAAAGAGGTGTTGGAACAAGGCCTTAGAGCTCAGGGAGGGTTGATCTCAGAGAAGAGTAGAGGACCCTGGGAAAAGATGGGTTCTAGAAATAGGAAAGTTTAAGGAGTGGCCTGCGATATGTGGTTGAAACCAGTGTGACTAGAGCCTCCATCTAATTGCTACTTCTGGTTATTTCACAGCCGGATCTCTTTAAGCTACTTGGAAAGGCCTTTCATGGCTTGGTCCCTGCTCACTGTTGTCTCTCCCCAGTGTTCAGTCTCAGCTTTTCCAAGCTGCAGTTCCCGGGATACACTGTGGACTAGCTGTACTGTTGCAAAATGGAAGTGTCCAGTCCTTTTCCTTCATATCACTATGCTCTCACGCTCATTCTAGCAAAGGATGATTTTCATGTCCCACGGCCACTGGCTCTTGGTTTAACAAATCTATAAAGAAACGTCTTTGAGACTAACCTAAATCTCTGCTATTGTAACTTAACCTTTTTTTTCTATGCTCCTATTCCTTAATTGCGTGTAGAAACCATTCTTGCATCCTCCTGCTTCCAAGATTGGGTAAGATGCTCATATTCTATGCTCCTACAGCTTCCCATTCTTCCGTATCATTGAATACTTCCTACTAGACAGTGTTTGACCATTTTTTCTGTCTCCCTCATTAGATCATCAGGTCTGAGAGAGCAGGTACTAAGTCATATTCCTTCCCCATGATTATTGCTCCTAACTGTTATAGACTCATGACCAACAACTAAAATAAGCATCTAATATATTTTCAAAGAATTCTAGCAAAGGATGATTTTCATGTCCCATGGTTACTCATTCTTGGTTTAACAAATCTACTAAGAAATATCTTTGAGACTAACCTAAATCTTTGCTATTGTAACTTAATTTTTTCTTTTGATGACTGAGTAGTGTTCTATGGTATGGATATACAACAGTTTGTTTAACCATTCACCCACCGAAGAACATTTGGGTTATTTCCAGTTTTGAGTTATTATAAATAAAGCTGTTGTGACTATTTGTGTACAGATTATTTTGTGTGAACAAGTTTTCATTTGTTTTCTGGTATAAATGCTTAAAGCGAAATTGTTGGCTGTATGGTAAACACGTGTTTAATTTGCCATGGTAAAATTAACTGCCATGGCAAACACACACCATGACAGTTACCTATAAAATTTAAGCAGTTGTCTAAATATGGCAGTTACCTACAATTAATTGTTGATGGAACTGTATAACAGTTACCTACAATCAGAGTGGTCGTATCATTTTGTTTCCCATGAGTAATGTGTGAAAGACCCAGCATCCTCTCTGTATCCTCTCTCCAGCATTTGGTGCTTTTACTATATTTTCCTTTAGTCACTCTGATAAGTGAGTGGTCATACCTCACTGCGGTTTTAATTTGCATTCCCCTAATGGCTAATCATGTTGAACATATTTTTACATACTTATTTGTCATCTGTATATCCTCTTTGATAATACAGAGATCAATTTTGGCCGCCACGAGGTACTTCTTACTTCCTGCTTCAATCTCAGTGGATTGATTCAAAGGCAAAAGATAAATCACTTACAGATAAATGATGAGTTACGGCACTTGACTATGTGCAAGATAGTGTTCCAAGTACTGGGGATAAAGCAGTGAAGAGAACAGAAAAGCCTCCTACTTTCATGATGCTTATATTCTAGTTGGGAGAGATGGCTAGTAATTGAAACAAATAAGTTATCATATATTAGATGGCCTCAAGTGGTTTAGAAAAAAAAGGAAAAAGAGATAGAAAATGATCTTAATTGCAATTTAGAATAGGGTCATCAGAATAGATCTCACTGACAGGAGACATTTGAGTGAAGACCTGAAGAGGTGGGGGAGGCCGTGGGGGTATCTGGAGAAAGAGAGTCTGGTGTTGAAGCCAGTGTACATGTTGTATTCACAGAGCATCAGGTGACCAGGTCAGCTGGGGCAGTGGGTGAGGGAGAGTGTGGGGGCCACAAAATCAGAGTGATGGAGAAAGCTGACCGTGTAAGGCCTCTTGGGTCCAGGTAGGACTTGACTTCTTCTTCACTGAGTTTGACGGGAAGACGGGTGGTAATGGGATAGGGTGGGGGTGGGGGTAGGAGCTGTTCTTTGGAAAGTGAAGGGCAGAGAGGTGGCTCTCATTTTACTTTGAAAAGATCATCCTGTCTGCTGTGCTAAGAACAGCCTGAAGCGGGAAGTGTGGTCTGGGAGATCCATCTGGACACCACTGTGATCCTCCAGGAGAGGAAGGATGGTGGCTTGGCTGTGGCTGGTGACACTCAGGGTCACAGGAAATAGTGAATCCTGGATATATTACTATTTTAAACTAGAGTAGACATCATTTCTTATTATGCTAGATGTAGAGTGAGTGAGGAAGAGAAAAGACTGAGTTGAGGGTTTTTGGTCTGAGCCTGGGGTGCATAAAGATGTCTTTCACGGAGACAGGGAAGGCTGTGGCTAGATGCTTGAGAGCACAGATTGAGATAAATGCTGTCTAAGGGGACTTTTAGATGACCAAGTTGAGACCATCAACAGGTAGATGGATGGTTAGTTGGGGCTTCCAGGCAGAGGCTTGTATGGAGATACTAATTTGAGAGTCATGCTTGACACAGCATCTGCCACACAGTTAGTGCTCAAAGTGGAGGCTCTCCATATGGTTACAGGCCCTCAAATCCTATATCTCAAGTCCTTGAAGCCAGGTTTCAAAAAGCATTAAGTTGAACCATCTGAAATTGCATATATCTGGTCATTTTTGACCTGCAATAATAATAGTTATGTATGGTTCTCCTGAACAATCTACTACACTTGCCTTATATTTCATAACACTTTAGGTGGGGTCTGAAATAACGCCTAATAATCAAATACAGAAATAATTCTGCAGCCCAACATGCTCATACTGAATGTGACAGGTAACCATTCCCAACAACACATGCCCTTTCAGGTCAGCTTTTGCTGCCAAATGAGTAATAAAAGCTTCCAGTTTTTAGAGATTTTTGGATTGTGTTTACGGACTGGTATTCCTATCATTGTGGCTGTTATTATTGTTCCCATTCTGTATGGCATTCAGGGGGTTGAACTAGGCAATAAGTAGAAGTTACTGAAAGGCAAATCTCAGTTCAATTTAAAGACTTTGTCAATACCGGACGTCGTCAATACTGTCCAAAGATAAATCATACTGCTTCCAGAGGTGGGAGTTCCCTGTTTCAAGGGTAAGGACAGGACCTGAACAGCCACTTATTGAGAATATTTTAGAGGGAATTTGGTTATTGGAGAAGCGATTGGAGTCAATGTCTTTTATAGCTTTTGCTCTTACTGAGACAAGATGACTCTCAATTATTTGTACTTTTTCAGGCCTTTTTTTCTCCATGTGTTAAATGGCGGCAGGGAGTTGAACTCTGTGATTGCTAAGGATGCTTCTATCATTAACATTTTCAGGATCTCGTGCTTCCCTGTGTCTTCTCTTTGCTCCCTGGTTGTTATTCCCACCCATCTCCGCACAGCTTTGCTTACATCCTTGTTTGATAAGCAATACATTTTTTAGAACGTCCCATGGCAATTTCCCCATGATGTGCAAATGAGGGATTAGCAAGGGCAGCTGGGTTGGGTCAGCAGATGTTTACTTTGTTGCTTTTTGAGTTAGTAAAAGAGCTCATTTTTCAGCAATTATTTCTAGATATGTTTTTGGACTTGTACAATATCCACAGCTTTTCTGCAAGAGGGCTTACTTGGGCATGGCCCTACTTTCCTGGACTGGCCCTGGTGGTTGGCAAGAACTTCCCTCTCTGGTTCTCTTGGGAAAAGAGCTATTTGATGAAACAGAAATTTTCAGTGGCTAACTCCCACTTTTCTAAGTGGCAACAGAAAAAAGTACAACCATTTTGAATGGAAACCTTTCTAAAATATAGTTTAAACTTTTAAAACAGGTTATTTTTTATGATTGTAAAAGTAACATTTTAACTTTAGAAAACTAGAAAAAGAAC